AGCAGATCAAGAAAAGTTATGTTATTTACACCATCACCTTGTTTTACTTCCATCTAGACAGATCGCTTGCCTCAAGTTACAATTCTCTTTCTCATCTTACACCTTATGACTGAGCTGTTTTGTAACTATCCAGTTGAACACTGAAGAAAAAACCACCAGTGACATTTTAAGTCTTGATTCTGCTGTAAACTGTAGTGACTTCCTGTGATTAAAAAAATCCCCTTTTTTTTTGTAACTTTGGAAGATTTTGTTTCATTTTGCCATCTTACAAGGACAACAATTTGCTGACTTTAAGGGACTCTCTAAAGATGGTCAAAATGTTATTTTGGCGGGTGTACTGCTTGTCACTTAGAAAAGTGTTGTGCTATCTTAGACAGCATGCTTTGCACCTCCACTTTTAATTCTGCCAATATCACATTATCTACTACAAACAGCTTTGCCGCTGACTAGTTATGCAACAAGTTGTAGAACAGAATGCTAATGCGGCCAGCAACACTGCCTTTATGCAAATTATAAATTTTCTTGCATGCATTATCTTCTCCTTGATTCAGTACAGTTTCCTTTCATTTCTCCCACCACCACTCAAAATCTTCTCCCAAGCAAAATTCAGAGCACTGGTGACTTCTACAGACTTCATGTGGGTGGCCATCTGCGCTGACAGGAACCCACTGAAGTCAGCCCAGGTGCAGTTCTCTGAAAGCAACTGTGTGTTGTGGCCTCACATGGAGTGATGTCAGTAAAACGGTTTTGTTTCTCTCTTTTATTTTTTTAAAAAAGCCCTGTTTGAACTTTGGATGCTTGTTATTAAACATTAATGTGAGTGTTATTTTCTGAGTGTAGAAAGCACGTGCATCCCACTGATTCCAAGCTGAGGTAAGTATGATCTCAAGAAAATAGATTTAGTGGGGCATGACACAAATTTAGACTGAAATAATTCTATGATTCTGAGTTGGAAGGAACTTGCAAGATCTTGCAATGAACTCCTGGCCTCTCATGTGAATACCCAAATATCAAACTCTGATTCAGAGTGTTGTTCAAATGCCTCTTGAACTCCAGCAGCTTGGGGCTGTGCCTGCTGCCTTGTGCAGCCTGTTCCATGCCCACCACCCTCTGGTGCAGAGTCTTTTCCTAACATTCCTCTGACGCCCCCCTGATGCAGCTCCATGCCCTCCCTGGAGTCCTTTTGCTGTCACTAGAGAGAAGTTGACATTTGTACCAGAGTGCCATGTATTCAGAGGCCCAGACTGGAATTTTTTGAAACCCATCTTCAGTGGAAAGGAGTAATAAATTTGCCTCAGCAGTGCATTTGTATCTGCAGGGGTGTTGCCAGGATAAAATGAAAATCTCTAATCAATAGCCAGGCAATCCATAACATTCATGCAAGAATGATGGGCTGTCTAAATCCTTCTTGTACATGTGAAGAACTGCTGCATCTGAGGTGAGTTTTTCAGCCTCGTATATAAAGTTATTTTGTGCCCAATTAATACTTTTTAATGAAAAAAAACAGTACAGTAGCTTTCATGGGAAAATATAGCAGTCAAAAAATTGAAGAAAAAAAAAGAAAGCTGTGAACTGATGCTTTTGAGAAAGCCAAGTTCAAAATCCTGTTTTCAGTCAGTAAATACAAGTTTTCTGCACCCCAGGCAGATGTCCTTAGCACATCTTAAACAGTTGCCATGAATAAAGCTTCTCTCTTCACAAAAAGACACTATAAAGCTCAAGTTTTGCTCTAGTACAGATTTAAAAAACAAACAAACAAAAAATAAACAAACAAGCAAAAAAAAAAAAAAAAACCAAAAACAACAAACAAACAAACAAAAAAACCCAGCAACACCCCAAAAGGTTAGATCTCAAAAATCCATCCTAATGAATGAGAAAGCCTTCTCCATTTCCTTCACTATCTCCGCTTTTTACTCAGTCTATAAATCACAGCAGAGAATAAAGCAAATATGGCAAAGCTGCTATGTGTCAGGAAAAAGTAATGAGCAGAAAGAATTAGTGCTTTTCAGTCCTGAAATGACAGATAAAAGAAAAAAAGAAAATAAGAAAAAGCAGTTTGGTTAAACTGCCTTTCCGAAGCAGGTAGGTTTTGTCATTCAAGTTTCCAAGAAACCCAGCAGTAATGAATAACCGCCAAACTGAAAATTAGTTTCTTCAGGATTTGCTCTAGAACATAGAACCTAGAACTCAGCTTGGTTAGAAGTAAAATTGAAAATTATTTTTTTAATTATTTACAGTTTACAGTGTACAATTTTGTGTTTCAGCCTTGGTCAGGATTACTCAAAGTTTTAGCTATTAAAGCTCATATTTCTTTTGTTTAATCAAAACTTTTGCAAGTACTCATTGCTGACAATGCTGCTTTTCCATTGTGAAATTTTTCTGGGCAATGAATGGACAGTCGTTCTTGACAATGCTCTATGCTGAAGAGATGGCTGTTCAAACTGTTATGAATTGATATATTTCTTTTGAAGAGACACAAATTTATATCATCTCAAGACATGGCCCTGGTAATGAGTTTGAGAGAGCGTTTCCTTAAACACAGGATTACAGAGGGAAACCAGAATATAGCAGAATCTTCACATCATAGACTCATAGAATGGTCTGGGTTGAAAAGGATCACAATGATCATCCAGTTTCAACCCCACCTCCACGTGCAGGGCTGCCAGCCACTAGACGAGGCTGTCCAGAGCCACAGCTGACAAGACAATACATTTTATGTTACTGATAAACTCCTTCTTTTTGAATAGCAGAAAATAGTAATAATTATATATAGCTACATGCATGCTCTATCGTGGCCTTTTGTTTTCACATAAACTCTGATAATTTTCATCTGATCGTGGCACTTTTAATTTGATCTGTCTCACAAAACCCAGTCTGGAGTGCATTCAGAACTGCCAAAACACAAGTAATGCTGTATTCTAAACACAGAAAGCACAAGTAAAATTTTATATCAAGTAATTGACATCAATTTACCTGATGGTTGTGGATTCCTTTAGAGCATCTGTTTTCAGCTTCATCAGATGCTGAATCATGTAATTGAGCATATCTCTTTCCTACTTAGTATATTTGAAATTTAAGAATCTAAGTTTGATCTGTTTAATTAACCTAAGAAAGGATGCTTAAAATAGACTAATGTAGTTAATGTGAAATGACCCCCAGTGTCAGAAACAGCTGTGTGTTTTACATGACACAATTTGTAGTGGGACATAACTGCATAAAATGACTTGAGCTAAAAAATATTTGTGAGGCCTGAGTATATTCTTTGCTTCCCAAACTCAATGTAGGTAATAGTGCATTAAGAAAAACAAGTAAACAAAACAAAAAAAACCAAATAAGTGAAAAAAAAAGCCCTCAAAATTTAACAGAAGAGTAATTTTTTTTTGTTTCTGTCCTTTATTCCCCTTCATGCACTGCATTCTCCTGGACACATAAAGCTTAAAACTTTGATTTTAAAAATATGATCAGAATTTTTTATGTGATCATAATTCCCAGTACCTGGTCATATAACAAAAAAGAGAGAGAGCCCCCTCAGCTGCCCTACAACTATATATAAGCATGGCAATTGGCATGCCCCCCTCCTGTTGGAGGTGAAGACAGCTGATTAGGTCGTGCCAAGGACTACCTGAAATGCACTGGGGGAAAAAACCTTGACCTAAAACTTTTAAGAACAGGTGTTTTAAAAGAAAATTAACGACATGCAGAACATCTGAAAAACTGATCTCTCCTTCAAGGAAGTGACAGCAGATTTCTGGGTCTAACTATAAGAAGAACCATCTTAGATAAATTAGATTTTCAGACACAGCTTTTTTTTTTTTTTCTCTTCAACTTGTCACACATGATGAAAGGAACTTGTTGAAGTAGAAGCAGGAGTGGAGTCATGGCAATTACTTTTCTTCACAGAATCACAGAATTGTAGGGGTTGGAAGGGAGCTCCAGAGATCATCGAGTCCAACCCCCCTGCCAAAGCAGGTTCCCTACAGCAGGTCGCACAGGTCGGCATCCAGGCAGGTCTGGAACATCTCCAGAGAAGGAGACTCCACCACCTCCCTGGGCAGCCTGTTCCAGTGCTCCGTCACCTCACTGTAAAGAAGTTCTTGTGCACATTTGTGCGGAACTTCCTGTGCTGCATTTTCCAGCCGTTTCCCCTTGTCCTGTCTCTATGTACCACTGAAATGCACATACTCCTATATATTTTAAATGTATTCACAGTCTATTATCACACGCAAAGCAATCTCAAGTTTTACAGAAATATATTAATATTTGTGCCTGGATTACAACTATAAGAAATTTTGAAGTCTTGGCTCTTCATAAAAATAGTGACGCAGAGCCTCAGATGGCTACAAACTTCTATGCTATTGAAATCACACAAATCTAATAGAAACTACAGAGTGAAGGAGATGCTTATAGGATCTAGATTCAGATTTGGGTATGAGATCTATGCAGTTCCACTTGGGAATGATTGATTCTGTAATCTTGCAAAGTGTTCTAACGTGCACGGTATTCTAATATTCTTAACACTATAAAACTCAGTGGCTTATAGGGTCATGTGGTTAGTCACTGTGAATGTTAAAGAAGAAAAAAATGTATGGTTACAACAGGTTTACTATCACTTAGATATCAAGATGTGCTCAGGAAGTTCATTTGAGAACAGAACAGAGTACATCAACACCTCAGTTATAGGAAGTAACTAGTACAGTGTCTGTTGTGAAAAGCACTTAGACTCGCTGCTACGAGTAATAGCTACATCTAAGCAGTTTTGAAAAACAAATAAACCCAATACAGAAAATATTCCTTCTACGCTATATGTTGCTGAGATAGAAAGAATATAATTTTAATTTCTGTCCTGCTCAGAAGAGGCAAAGGCATATACTAAGGCTTTAAGGGGCTGTCTGATGCACAGGTCTTGCGTCATTTTCAAACAGAAGGGAGGATTCCACCTGAATTGAATTGGGTGCTGAATGGGTAGAAAAGAAATAAAAGCAAGAACAGAGAGGACTCACTGTCTCTTGGGATGCTCTTCTGGAACCTTTCCAGGTCCACGCTGGGTGGTCGGCTGGGCTTCTGTGGTGGCTGGCCCAGCTTGAACAGCGGGGGCAAAGACTTCCGTTTCGGGGCTCCTGAGCTCCTATCCCAGTCATCCTTCTCTTCTGACCCACCCAACGACTTTCCTGCAGCAAACGCTGTGTTTGTTTTATGGAACTTGGGAGGAGATAAACCAGATTCTTCCTGGATGATTTTGTTCAGAAAGATATTCCTGGAGGCACTCACTCCCTTTTCTTCAGTCTTTTCCTCTGCATTTTTGGGAGTGCCTTGAGATGCGCTGGACCAGTGGCCAGTAGTTTTCAGAGCCATGTTAGAAAAATGACTGCCTACAGTTTCTGCAGCGCACTTACTATTTTCATCCATTTCCTTTGTTGCTTTAAATGAGTGCATATTTGGTCTAGGGCCTCCTAGACCTTTATGTGGGAAAGCATTTTTACTTGAGGTGTCTTCATTGTGGGAAACTGTAAGGTTTACAGCAGGCTTCTGTGCAAGAGCTGGTTTGGAGAAAGAAGGCTTAGGATCATTTTCTTGTGTTGCAGACATGAACTTTTCCTTAACTCCAGCTACTTTTGAAAATGATGCTTTTTCTTCACTCTCTTGTGCTTCAGAATTAAAATTTAGCTTTGTTCCCAGAGGCCTTTTTTCCTTCTCTTGAGGAGCTGAATTAAGAAGCTTGTTCCCTGCAGATTTTGGATACAGAGACTTCAGCTCTTCTTTTGCCAAGTCACTGCTTTTAGTAGGGGTTTTAGTGTATCCAGCTTTTCCATCACTTTCCCTATTAGTTGCCTGAAGGTGAACCCCAAACCTTTGCCCAACTGGTTTCAAATATGGGGGCTTTGGATCCTTCTCCGTCTTATCTTCAGTTGAAGGCTTGACTGCCAGAGGAGGCTTAGGATGAGCAGGTTTTTGAGAAACACTGGGTCCTGAAGGAGAAGCTGCATTTCCTTGACTTGCAAATTTCTCAAATACTGCTTTCCTTGTTTGTAATCCTGAATGGGTTGGTTGTCCTGTGACTTTAGAGAGTCGAATGTTACCAGAAACATCCTCTGAAGGGCTGTTACCCACGTTAAACTTCGCCATGAGTGACTTCACATCTGCCTTTCCATCCTATGGGCATAGAGAAATAACAAAGAAAAAGAGACAATGAGAAAGTGTCAGTTGAAATGTTCACACATACTGTACTTTAAAGAATTTCCTGGTCTGAGGCTTGTAGTACTGCTGATTGGCTGTGGAGATATTGTAGCACATCTTCCTGTAGGGTTAGAAAAGCTAAGCACTTTGTTGCATTCCTGGTGTGGTTATATAATCTTCTAAATTTTTCACAACAGGTTCTGCATTCAGACAGCGATCATTCAGCTCCTTTTGTTCATAGCATGATTTCTGATTATTTCTGGAACCAGGAAATAAACAGCTGGTATATATTAACATGAAGATATCCACAACTTCAAAATTAAAGTATTCCAAAAGATATGAGTATCCTGTGCTTAGAAAAATAGAATATACTGGAACCTGGACAGTACGTCAAAATGGTGTTATTCATACCAGATCTTTGGAGAACTGAGAGTTGCATAAACAGAAAATCTTCTGTTTTGGAGAGACTGTGCGACAGATTTTCTTTCCCTTCTCAGCAATTTGCTTTCCTACTGCTCTCCACCTTCCCCTGCTTTGTCCTTGTTTCTGTTCTCCATTTTATATCTGATAAACACTGTACATGGGTAGACTGAAAGTGAAAATATATGGAGTAAAATGGGAAGAAACGACAACCAGTAAGCAAAAATACTGTAAAAGGAAGAAGATGAAGAGTTCAAAGTGAGTAAAATTCAGTTTCATTAGAAAATGTTTTAATTGGACAGCTCTATTTAAGACCTTTGAGGATCAGCCTTCGATATGAACTGAGAACAAAAGCTGAATACAGTTTGACTCAGTGCAGTTGTTACACAGTTCAGTGAAAGATTTGAGCAAAGGGAAGTGAGGTAGTCACACCACAATGGCCTGGGTCCACTCTTGTGTTACAGTTGTCACCAGCAGCAGGGGCTACTCCTTTGCAAGCACACAGTAGTGTCAGAACTGATTCATAGCTTGTACTAAGTGAGATCCATTTTATGCAGGAAGGTCAAAATGTAAAACTAATGTTATGAAGCAGAGATGTTAGAGCTAGTAACTGCCCTAAATTCTCTGTTTAGAAACAAAGATTATCACTATCCAGTACAGTACATAATGGTCTAAAAGAATATTTTAAAGTAAGATCAGCAAATGAATTATGTCTTCAGTCAGTACGGTTTCAGTGAGCATTTAGTAATTTTTTAACTTCATTAACAAGATTTTCTGAACTGTGGTTGTCTTCTCCTTTTGCCTTTTGTTTGGTTCTGTCATGCTATGAATTTCCTGATAAGCTGGAGTAGTTTCACTTGTGACTTCTGCAACATAAATTTAACTTTCTCAGTCTTTCAATACCACCAAGAAATTCAGTCTTTCCAAACTACACTGCACTACAGAGCTACTTAAAAGAAAAGCAGCCAAAACAGTTTGAAACCTATCCCCAGAGTACTCGATTATCTCTTTTTCTCTTGTAGGAAAGGGAGGAAATGCATATGTACTATGGAGATTATCAGGCTTAAGCTATCTACTGCTGGTTGCTATACGTGCGCTCAAACACACACACAGTCACACTACATAGATACATAAATATATATCACTAATCATTCAAGATTTCTCACATAAAACCTCACAAAGCACTGATTTTACCCACATAATGAGAAAATTAGGCTGATTTCAGTGCCAGAAAGAGTAACAAAAACTTCTGGTTTTGATCTCTTGAATCAGGTGCTTTTTGTTTGTTTGTTTGTTTGTTTTTTGACTTCAGTAGCAAAATCTAAACCATCAAAAATACAGTGTTTTAAATATTCAGAACTTGTAAATGACAATCTAATCAATAGCTTGGCCATCTCAGAAGCTTATTTCTTTGGAAAGTTATAGGAATAATTTGGTTCTTCTTTCTTCCATTTGTAATTAATGAAAGCATTCTGTACGAAGCTACAGTAAAGTGAATGTTTGGGATAACAGACATTCAGCACGTAAACCTTTCAGAGGTTGGAAACAGGGATTTTAAGAAAGTTTTCCTGTTGTAATGTGCAGTTTCTGAGAACTTTTCTATATCCTGGCAATAACAAGATCAATTACATTCATACAGGTTTTCAAAGGCATTAAACAATCCACTACTGCCCTGTCAGGACTGTTTATTTTCTGTAAGGACATCAATAGATTTGTTTTAAAAAATGCCTTCCTGGCACTGTGAATAGATTTCAAACATTGTCCTTATCAAACAGATGTACAAGCTCATAAAAAACAAGCTCCTGGAGATGTAGAGGGGCTTACAATCAGCAACATAACCTCTCTCACTCACCGTAAGCTCAGTAGTGAGGGTAGCACTCTAAGAATCAAAGGAGAGTAAGAAACTGAGAAATCTTTCTGTGTCTCTATAATGTATATAATCATTCTCTGATTTAACAAACGTATAACAGGAGCCATATTGAGGATTCTGAGGTAAGATCAAACTGTCAGTTAGACAGATGGAGAATCTTTTATTAGTGATTTCTGCTGTTCCTGCATTTCCCTTCCCAGAAGGGACAACAGTTACCTCTTCCATTAGCATATACAATATGTTGTACTTAATGAAACAGGAACTTGAAAAGATTGTGAAACTGGATTAAGTTTACCCCATCTTTCCTACCCGAAGTGCAGTGTGCATGTTAGACAGAGGAGTCTCATGCAAGAAGTACTTAGGTAATATTCTAACTTTCTGTTTGCATTCTCTTAGACTCAGTACAACATTCACCTTTTGAACTGGGCCACAAAGATGGTGAAGGGCCTGGAGCATCTCTCCTATGAGGAAAGGCTGAGTGAACTGGGTCTGTTCAGCCTTGAGAAAAGAAGACTGAGAGGGGACCTGATCCAGGTCTATAAATATCTGAGGTGTGGGGGGCAGAATGGCGAGGCCGGACTCTTTTCAGTGGTGAGTGGAGACAGGACAAGGGGAAACGGCCGGAAACTGCAGCATAGGAAGTTCTGCACAAATGTGCGCAAGAACTTCTTTACAGTGAGGTGACGGAGCACTGGAACAGGCTGCCCAGGGAGGTGGTGGAGTCTCCTTCTCTGGAGATGTTCCAGACCTGCCTGGATGCCGACCTGTGCGACCTGCTGTAGGGAACCTGCTTTGGCAGGGGGGTTGGACTCGATGATCTCTGGAGCTCCCTTCCAACCCCTACAATTCTGTGATTCTGTGAACTGCTGGAAGCAGCACAAAGTACACAGTAACAATTCCTTTGCAAGGAGATGGATGCATTTAAATGTGCTTGACTCATATCTAGAAAAATACTTTGGTTTTGATTCCCAGGTGTTAATCAAGGAGATTTGCATGAACGTGCTTTCCCATTTTCCAGTTCCTTCAGATAGGACCCACGCAGATATGAAGATACATTTGCACAGAATTCTTCAAAGAGTAGATTACATTTACATTTCAATGTACAAGTGCAATTCTCCATTATTTACAATATATGTATTTTTTTCAAAATAACAGTACAATGAGAACACAGCAAAAGTAAAAATTCCAAATTATTTTCTCTGAACATGTCAGTCTGAACTGGCAGTCTGATTAAAAACAAAACAAAAATAAATATATATTATTTCATTTCCATCTTGATGAAGCCAAAAGAGTTTTCCACTTCAGTTTCCCCTAGTGGTTGCTTTTTCTTTGAGTCAATAGCACCACTGGATCAATAAAGGCAACAATAGATGTGCACATATGGTTTGTAGTTCAACAAATAAAATGTGTGTTACTGTAGCATGTACAAGTTTACAAAGCTATTATTTTAAGAAAAAAAGCATGCATATATGTGAACTCTGTTATTGTGAAAAAAAAAATTACAAAAGCTGCTAACCACTGAAGGAATTGAGCTCTAATCCATGGACAAGATATAATGCATAAGGTATGGGGAAAAAAAGGTAAAGAAAATGAGTAATGCAAATTAAAGATAAATACAGATCTGAAAGTCAGTTGGCAACATAAAAGCCTAATTTAGGTTCTACAGAAGTGTATGGATTGAGGGATTTTAGCTATTTGCATAAAATTCTAGTATTTTATATTAATGATAAATTTTGCTTGACTATTTCTTTTTCCAGACAGAGAGATTTCAAAATTACCAGTTGTACAGCAATTGGCAAAAAAATAACAATTTTTTATTTTCGGAAGGGACAAATAATATTCAATTTACTTGTCTTGACTCTGGTTGTAATAATTAGTTAAATAAAACTTCTTTTAATTAAGAGTTCAACATTTGGAAAGTGGAGTCAAGATATTGCAGTGTTCTGTACCTACAGATGCACACAGCAGAAGTGTGAAAAACAAGCAGAAAGACAGCATCTGCTCAAATAGAAAGAATGGCAGATGCAGTGCTTGTAGAGTAATGAGCCCAATATTTCAGATTGGAAATATAGAAAGGGCCAGCAGTTATTCTCTTTGCTTTTCTTGAAAGGCTGACCTTTCAACAGGTCTGCAGGACAGGATAGATGGAAATCTATGGGATTCCTTGGAGAAAGGTCAACAGCCTTTTTGTCTCCTTGATGAAATCTTTTAAAATATCTGATGCCAGCAAATGAAAGTAGCACATCCACACAGACATGTGGTTGTCAAACTGAGACAACCTGACTACACAGTATTCTGTGTCTTTTTAGTGTATTCCACTAAACCTCTTTTGTCCCTCTCTTGTAATGTTTTCTCATCTGTCCCGCAATCCTAAGACCAAATACACAACATTGCAGAAAAATGAGAACAGTGTAACACTTCCATTCCATTCTGTGTACAGCAACTACCTTTCAAGAATCTTTAATTTGACTCTGATCATTCTAATAAAGCTAATTGAACTTGTCTGAATCTCAAGGAAAAAAGAAACCTCAAGCTCTTGGCACTGTAAAGATCCTACCACTACTTCTAGAATTTCAAGATCCTGTATGACTTTAAAGAACATTTTGTGCAGTGTTAAGACATTAATTACTGTTCTGAAGCTGAAAGAAAAATACCTTCCATGACCCACTACAAAAAATACTTGCAGTCTTTTTAGTATCTCTCATATTCACTGACATTCAATGATATCTCAATTCAGAGTATGATATATGTAAAGAAAAAATACCTCCAAACCAACAGCCACAAATAATACAAAAAGATTAAGCTGAGTTGTAGCTAGATGATTTATAATTCTATCTAGAAAATAATTGATTCTAATTGCCTCTCATTTCTCTTAGTCTTCAAAATGCAAATGTCACTTAAAGTAGGGCTGCCTTTAGTAAAAACTCAGGCAACCAAACACAAACCTTAGAGAGAGAAAAGACAGTTTCGTCAACTTGGCAACTTTTCAGCTGGACAATTAGTTGCAAGAAAATTTTACAATAGAATTTCCACATGTACAAGGTCATATATAATATCTTGCTCTGTTTATATATTTTTTTTCCTTGAACTTTGTGCTTTTATTTATTAGATAAACAAGTACAACAATTTACCTGGACTTCCCAAAGCTCTCCAGTATTTTGATACAAGCAGAAAAACGAGCTCCCTCAATGAGACAATCCACGGAGTCTGTCACATTAGCAGCCTATTGTGTTTGCTAAGAGGAGTTCTCAGAGAGCTTGCCTAAGAGAGGCTTTGCTTGTGGTTTTCATTATCATGACCAGTAGAAAAAAAGCTGCTGTCCTCAGGATATTAGGTAAGAAGTGGCAGAGGAAAAGGGAACTAAAATGTGTTCAGGCTGGCTGTTGCCACCGGCTATATTCATTACACGATATCTTAAGAGCAGTGTGAGCTCCAGCATTGCATTTGCACCATATTGCCGTATTGGTACAAGCTTGAATTTTAGAGAACAATATTTAAGGAAATATTTGTGGGAATTAAAATTGTAAAGAAAGCATATGGACCTCTTGGGTCATGAAGTCTAACCACCTGCTGCCAAAAAGAATCACTGCATCCATTCCTAGTCATCAACCGAAGATGTCAGCTAAGGTGTTGTTTTGCTCCCACTCTCGCCAGTAGTTTCTCAAGACATTCTGCTGGCCATTTTTTCTAAAGCTTTCGCTTTAACAGAGTTTTTGTTGTTGTTGTTTTTAAATTATGACCATAATCCTTTTTTTTTTTTTTTTTTTTTTTTTCCCTCACCCTTTTGCCTCTCAGTTTACTGCAAAAATCAAAGACTTTGGTACGATATAGGATAAGAAAGATACTGAGAAAACGAGTTTTATGAGAAACTCCAAACCTGCTGAAGATAAATCCAAAACATAAGGCACAACCCTCTGCTAAATACAGCTCAGTGAATTTTCTGGAGCTCTGCATGGTAATGAGATCGCAGATGAAAAAATTTGTCTTCAAGCTTCACTAGATGTTGTTTGCTTCTTCCTCATTATTCATCACTACTTCTTCTGTGCATTTTTTTTAAATTTTTTGAATGCCCAATTAAAGCACTGGAGGTGCTTGGCATTTCTGGATTAGTTGTGCAAACCTTTCTATTTTAGCTAGTTCAGAAGACTATTAGCGTGTTGGAGAAAGCTTATTTGAGACAAAAATACTACTACTTTCTCTGTATTTGTCACTTGCCAATGAAAACAATTTTTAAAAATTACTTCAATTTTTTTTTCTTAGTGGGAGAAATGCAGTTCTGAGCAATATTCTTCATGCTATTTATTCTGCTATGCCCTGTATTTGATTTATAAACTCATATTTATTTGTGAAAATACACATTGATCACAAGTGATGAAGCTTTTATCATTAGTCTTACAGCAGATTGGACTTTGTAACTTGCTATTCTATTTGGCAGACTGCACAACTGTTTTACAGTGCTATATGTAACAATATAGTCATTTTGCACTGGTAAACTACTGCAAGTTATGGCTCACATTATCAGGCAAATCATACAGCGATCAAAGAATGAACTCCTCTTGGAAGCTCTGAGTGCTAGAGAGTTCCTGCCTTCTCCTTCATCCACTGCACAGTTGTAAAGACGTTCCTAATTGATAGAAGGCTGCTGAGAAAATGAATTGCAACAAAAACACCGAAAATCACAGTTTAGGCTGCAAAAGTGCTGTGAACGTTGCTCATCTACAATATGTATGATTCATTTTATACTTGCAGGTGCAACGGCTTCCTGGATCCCCTCTATTTCTTCCACATAGAGTGGAGTATGTTTCTGAGTACTTTGGGGAAATTAGTTTTTCTTTATCTGAAGAAAGAATGTGAAGGAATTAGTATTTTAAGGAACATGACCTGCAAGGCTGAAAGCACACTGGAGCTGTTTTGTACTACTACTACTTTCCGCAAAAACAGAAGCAGAAGCAGCAATAAGAACTTCACAGATTTAAGCATGACAAACATATCAAATAAAGACGCTATCTTCTTGTATAGAAGCATGCCATTCCAGAATTGGTGTAGACCAAAACTGGCATCTACAGCCCAGTATAACAATGACTTTCCAAAATTCTCAAGTGTAAAATTTATCACTGCAGTCTTATGTGCTTTTTGTTAACAGAGCATTTACTCAAATTTTGGTTTCCACATATCTTTTGGAAAAATATCTGCTTAATAATTTATTTTGTCATAATCAGACAAAAGATAAAAGGGGAAAATAGTTGCCTCTGACTTGCTCTGCTTTAAGATGCTTTAAGTTTATTTTTTAAGGCAACTTTCATGCATTGTTGTTCACCCTACAGTGGCAGTCAGTCGCAACTGTCTGAACGGCTTTGGGCTTCCAGGTCAGTGCTCACAAAGAATGTCACAGTCATGATCTTGTTACAGCCACAGCTGTGTTGGTATCTTTACTTGGTATGCTGTGAACTGGAGAGGTGAAATTCTATTAAGAAAAAAAAAAACACATAACTTTTTTGCTTTCCATGTTGTTTTAGCATGCTTCCTTTCGCTGATCTTAGTGATCAAGGTGATTCCAAAGCAGGTCTGATAGCATAACAGAATCGGCTGTGGAGACTGGAGGAAGATTGGGAGATGAGCAACACAGAAATTATTTTTTGGCCAGGTAATCATTAAACCACATCTACAAAATGTTCATGGGAGAGCCCTTTCGGACAGGTGCACTAATGTCAATAAAGCAAGCCTGGCAATCCCCTTCCTAGGTCAGAAGTAGTTGTTCCATCTGTAATGTAAAATGCATGCAGATATGTGGAGTGCTTAATAAAAACAAGTCAGTTTTTCGGAGAAGCCTGTCTTTCAATCTCCTCATAACTCCCGTAGGTCTTTTGCCACCTAGTGGCAGACCAAGTTCAGCAGAAGAGATTATGTATTTTTCGTGTGGAAAATCAGTTGCATGTGCCTGTTCTCAGAGGGTTAGTCTGTCTAGTTTCATGCCACTCCTGGAAGATAACACTTCAATAATTCTACCACAGTCAGAAGACGAGGCAATGAGTTAATATGCCTGCTTAGCACTGCTATGCCAATCCTGGGAGCAGTGCTGACAGTGTGTACAGCCGCTGCCCATGACAGGTAGCCATGGCTGTGATCCAGTTACAGTATCATTCTGGAAAGCACCTGATTTTCAGTAGAAATTTGATATTCATGAACACTGGCAGGAGCTTCTGTTTTTATTGCTGTATTTCTTGTCAGAGCAGACTGTGTTATCTTTGTGTCTGCAAGACGGGGCCAGACTTCCTGAAATGTGTGCTGTTCCAATTCCACAAGGTTGATATTTGAAAGCAGTTTTAGTATTTCTGACACAAGTTTGATGTGGTCATGAACAAATTAACGGCATTGTCTCATGTCTAAATGCACTGTCATATATACGGCAACAGCTGGGCTTCCCAGATATTTGTGGACAGCTGACAGGCAGGATACCCTGAAAGCACATCAAGTTGATGCTGTGGTTCTTTTAGACTGCCATAATTACATTCTGATGAAAGTGTTGAATATAATTACCATCTCAAGATTTCTTTATACTAATGGGAGTCAGCTTTTGAAAACTGAAGAAAGAAGGCAAAAGATGATGACAGAACTTCCCCATGCCCGTTAAACTTTGTAAAACAAATGTTTCCGCCATAGAGGAAAGTTCAGTGTACTCCAGAGTGTCACAGTCATGTGCCTGTCCTTGTGGATCAGCTTGGCTGTAAGCACTGCACTAAACCACTCATTTCAGAGCATAGGTCTTCCAGTGAGCATCAAAAGCTGATGTAAAACCTCTATTAGTACAAAAAAAATTATATTTGAAAAGATTTTTTTTTTTTTTTAATAGCTTGACCTGAGCTCTGTTGGCTCAGACCCTACGAAACATTTCCTCAAAGGCAAAACCTGTTTTTGGATGCAAAACCTGTCTCTGATTAGATGGGAATTGGGAATGCTGAGCCTTCACTAAATGGTCCACAGGCACCTCAAAATCTCTCTTGATAGTGCAGGGCTGACTGTGCTGGAGAGCAGCCCTGACATGCTCAGACACACCACATTGCCCCTAACTTCCCACACACCACAATTCATGCCTTGCTGAGGAGCACAGCTGGCACAGATAGCAGCTTGATTAGATGGTTTAATGATTAAGATGAGCTAAATAGCAGGTGATGTGTGTGAAGCTGACTGCTGAGTTTTCAGTAGTGTGCTCTGGGCTTGTGGTAAGGACATTCAGACATCTTGTCCACAGGCCTGGGGGCCGTCTTGGTAAGGCATGCAAGGCAGGAAGCTGCTAAAATCAGTAGGTGAGTGGAAGGCTATAGAAAATGGTATAAGGATGGTGGAGGAGTGTGGCGGGGCTACAATGAGTTGGGCAGGGGCATTTTGTGGGGGAGAGGAGCTTGACACCTGGGAAGAGTGGGCAGCCCTTTGTCTCCCCTCACAAAGTTGTGCTCCCTCTGTTCCCCCCATGCACCTCAGCAGAGCCTGCCCTTGCCCTGCCCCGCCTCAGTTCTGCCTCTCTGCATTATCCCTGCCCGGACCTAGAATGCCGGGGAAAGCCTTGTGACTACCTTAGTAGTTACTGTGTCCTGGAAGCAGGAAAAGGAGAAGAATCCTGAAGTGGGAAAAGAGAGTATTTGGTGGTAAGTGAGGAGTATACATGGTCAAGTGGGGAATTATCTGCTGGATTGGCTTCCTCCTCAGCCGATATGGTGGGATATGAGGGAGGAAGCAGCTTTCATATAGAAGAAGTTATTTCACTTACCTCCCACATATACCCTGGTATAAATACTTTGGTGGGGAACTATTTGGCCTGGCTTTCCCCTCAGCACGCCCCCAGCTGCTGTTACCAGCAGGAAGAAGAAGTGGAAAAGCAAGAGGAACAGACATCCTTAGCAAAACGCCTCTAACTTCCCTTTTTCCTCAACGTGTCCTTCCCCACCTCTGCCTGGGAAGAAAAAAAAAGTTCAAGAACATGCAAATCACTCACCAGCAGTTGTGCAAACTCTTTTGAAGGGAGAGAGAGACGGCCCTGTGCTCCCCATGCCTTCACATGCAAACTTCTTGCCCTTTTCACGTGTTAAACACCTGCCAGCTCATTTGTTTTTAGTTTGGAGAAGCAAAACAGAAACCCTTTCCTAAAAACATTCCAGCTCCAAAGCAAGGAGGTCCTGCTCTCACTGTTAACCCTTCTGAGCTAAAGACTTGCAGCAGGTATCTGTGACTCTTTGGGTATTCACTTAGCTCATTTACCATGAGCTTTCCCAGGGTAGAGGATAGCAACGGGCCTTTACTCTACAAGA